GAGAAGGCGCTTCTAGGCGACTACAACAGACAATCGGTCCTTTTCAGGGCCACACAAAAGTCTTTTGACGTAGTCTCTTTCTAAGATCCCCGTCATCAGAACGTGGGTCAGCGAACGGTCATCCCTTGACCACTCTGACCATCAGCCTAGCTTGGCATCCGTCCTTCTCAGGATTTCTCATCTACGACAACGTAACATTGTACAACAAAGAAAGGAAAGACTCTTGCGTACACAAAACGTCTGGCAAAATTTGCCAGACTCACACCCTGACTAGTTGCCGTAAAAACTTTAACTTTTTTTTAACGTCGCGAATTTGAGAAAGTGTCAAAATTCCTAGCACACTCATTCATGCCAAGGGGAATTCGGAAAATTCCCGGGAAGCTGCACTTTTATTTTCACTGTAAATATGCTTTTTGTTGCAATTTCATCACATCATTATTTCCTATGTAGGATTTTTGCCTGCTTTCGAAAGTTTGTTAACTCTCTAAAGTACCTTGAAATTTCTAAAGCTTCGTTCAAGATCAACAGTTTTTCAAAAATTGAGCTACATTATCAAACCTAGCATTGCAAATAGTTGTCAAAGCAGCTTGCAATCTTAAACAACTTCAAAAATAAACAAAGAGCCGACATTTTTTGAAAAGCTATTGATATTAAACAAAGCTTTAGAATTTTCAATGTACCTTAGAGAGATAACAAACTTTTGAAAGCAGGCAAAAATGCTACATAGGAAATAGTGATATGATGAAATTGTGACAAAAAAGCATATTTACAGTGAAAATAAAAGTGCAATTTCCCGGTGCTCGTGGGATTTTTCCCAAGTTACCCTTGACATGAATGAGTGTGCTAGGAATGTGCTAGAAAAAGAGAAAAACTGTGTGTCCCACGTACTGGGTCTGATAAATTTTGACACTTTCTCAAATTCGCGACGTTAAAAAAAAGTTAAAGTTTTTACGACAACTAGTAAGGGTGTGAGTCTGGCAAAAATTGAGCACTGATGTTCTGAAGAAGTGTACGCGACCCTGGTGCGAAAACTCAATCGGTACCCTTTGAAAGTTACCTGAGGTGACCAAAAACACTACTCGCCAGAAAACGGTAAATAAGAAACATTTTAACATGTAAAGTATACGAAAAAAGCTCACGAAAACAGCTGTGTCTCAGGGCAAAATCAAAATTTTAGAATTTCGAAAAATGCAATGGAAAGATGAGAAAAAATCCTATTCAAAAATTGAATAAACAAATTTCGAATTTAAGGTGTAAATAAGCCCTTAAGGGCCCTCTACACACACTCAGTCAATAACAAGTACGTAATTATTTTTTACCCATTTTTTTTATTCTCTGGTCAACCATTGAACTTGAAACTTCGTGGGAGTGATTATGAAACTTATAAAAATGTGCCTCTGGAGCCAGTTTTCAATTAAATGACCGCTACTTTCAAACAAACTTGATGTTCTATTATCCCCCTTTTATAATCTCAAAAGTAACGTATTCTCAAACAATTAGTTAAAATGATTTTATTAAACATTTTATTGAAAACTGGCTCCAGAGGCACATTTTTATAAGTTTCATAATCACTCCCACGAAGTTTCAAGCTCAACGGTTGTCTAGAGAATAAAAAAAATGGGTACAAAATAATATCGGTATGTCGGTATTTGTCCGTCTGTATAGAGGAGCCTTAAATCGGCCTACAGTTGATGTACTCTTGGATTGTGGTGCAGATTTGTCTAATTTTCTTTTTTCCACATCATACGAAGCAGGTTGGAAAGAATGGCATGTGCTCGAGTTAAAATTTAGTCTAGCGTCTGATATTTTAGCCGTCGTTGAGCGTCTAGAAAAAAGAGGATAGGAACTGTCCCGAAGCGACGCCCTGAAGATTATGAAATCTTTTGCTGAATGCAAACTGTTCGAGAAGTAGATAGATCTTGAAAAATCTTGGTATTATGACACAGAGTTCGTAACAAAAGCTAAAAATATCATGGTTATTCCGAAAGTATGTCGCTGTACGACATGATGCAGTTACGACCCGAAGAGGCGGCGAAATTGCTCACTTACGAGGACTACGTAAAGTTAGCGTACTCGACAAAAATTTGGGATCTCCCCCAAGAAGGACCGGCTATTGAGCGCTTGGTGTCTATGCGAGAAAGTATCGAGAGGGTTTTTTCGCCGATGTGCCGTGGATTCTTTCTTGGAGCTAACAAAATATCAACTGCCGATTCTTTGCAGTGACAAGATCATCGAGCAACTTATTAATGATGATTTAAGTAATATTTGCTTACTAGCTGCCGGCCGGAGCTCGTGCTGAATATAAAATATTTTCTGTATTTTTTAATGTCTGATTGTATTCAATATCGCAGATTTTCTGTCATTAAAACAAATTAACTTGAAGAATTTCATATAGAGTCACCTACCTAGTGATTGAAAGCATACCAGTGAATGAAAGCTCTTTTTTAAATAAAAATTATTAATTGAAAACGACATTATTCATGAACGACGAATTTTTATGCTATTCTTGGGTATTATTGCTAACTATTCGAATGGTTATCAGGTCCAGAATCAATATAGTTTAACAATAGGAATTAATTTACGAACGCATCGTTCGCTGAGCCGTAAAATACGGTCATTTTGTAATCGCTGAAGATCGTTAAAATTTGGAAGATCCACTGTAAAAGAATGAGCAGCTCAAAACCTTTTATAACGGACTAGTTAAATTTAAAACTGTCATTTATATGTTAAACAATTGCATTTTCAGTGAAAAATCAAGTTTTAATTAGAAAATGTCACTCTTTTTCAACTTTCATTTACTGGTGTGGCGAATAGTTCGCAGTTCGCACTTGCCCAGTAAATGAAAGTACAAATATAAGCACATTTTGATTGGAGTTTTAAACCAATCCTCATCTATGAGGTCTTAAAATGTTTGTAAAATGGTTCTTCTCTATTCAACACTAAAAATGAAACAGATTTTTAAAAAAGATCCCTGAAAAATCACCAAAACGTGTCCTACAACATGAAAAGTCATAACATGACCTTGAAATACTTTAATTATGTCATTTAACACAGGTGCCCTTATTTTAATTATGTCAATATGGCAATAAAAAGGTTGGTTTGGATGATAAATTTATGTTTTAGTTTCTTATTCAATAAAAAAGGTGATATTGCAGTCTATATTGATTATCAAATCAACGTATGCTTATTTTTGTACATTCATTTACTGGTTTCGCGGCTTTCATTCACTGGATCGCATATGTTTCATTCACTGGTAAAGCACGTTTTTTTTCATTTTCATGAACTTTCATAAATGAAAAACTCAATTGAAAATTCTGTAAAAATTCTAATAGGTAGAGGAAGGTATAAACTTTGACAAATTATTGGTTCGATTACCTAAAATTGACTAAAAACATGCATCTGAGCTGCTTGAAAGAAGAATTTTTTTAAACCTTTCAGTCACAGGTCGAGTGACTTTAATTTCATTTTATTTGTGTATTAATTTTATTTTTTCCTAAAAATTTGGACATTTCTTAGTAAAAAAAATTTTAAAAACAAGTTAAAACTAAAATCTTCTCACTTTTTGAAAGACATTTCGATCTCCCTACTTTTCGTAAGAGGCGTCGAATTATGCGCTATGTATAGCTCTAACCCTCTGTGCACTTTCGATATTGAATAGTTCAATCATTTAAGAAAATTCGCCACTACCCATCATGTTCCGACTATAACTCTAATGGATTAAAATGCATATGTCTATTTCAAGACAGCTCCAATCTCGATCGACGTATATATCTTGCACTGACAATTATTCTACTTCAGATAATCTTGAAATTTATTTTTATAATAAATTAACTTTCGACTTGTATGTCTGTTTACTTTGGAACTAGAGCACATTGGAATCAATATTAGACAGAAAACATTATCAAAAGAAAACCGTATGGTAAAATTTCATAGAAAAATACGTTGAATTTTGCGTAAAAGTAATAAGATATTACGTGCTTGAATAATATAAAAAGACAAAGAATGGTCTTATGAAATAATCTTTGTAAACTGTTTTGAAAAAAAAAGGGAATTTCATAATACACAGAGACGCATACGACGTAGGGTTTTATGTGTATATAATAAAAATGTGTCTATACAGAAAAGAGAGGAGAAGGAGATGGTATGCGCGTGCTCCACGTGCACGATTATGTACTCCGTGAGCTCACGTGTATCATCGCTCAAAAAAAATAAAATGAAAGCCCTGAAAAAAAGTTACGAGGAGCATACTAAATTTTCACCTCGTGCGCGCGTGGTGGAAGATTTTTCTCATACAGGCACATTATACGTGAGAAAGTACAGAAATAAAGAGAGAAGCTTAAAATTCATACTTGTGTGTATATATATTCATGTGCAGCCCCATTTCGCACTGATCCTTTCGTCAAACATTAACGAGACGAAAATCGCGAAAATAAAAAATCAAACATCAACAACGTTGGATTTATGAAGTATAGATCTTCATTGACTACGACGTATAAATTTGTTACCCACCATTCATATCAATAACAGTTTATAAAAACGAAAAAAAAATGACTTCAATTAAGGAAAAAATTCAAAGCTTTCGCATAACACATTTGAGCACTAACAAAAAATCTTTTGCTGATTAAAAATGCACTACACTTACAAGAGTTTTTATCGCGAAGACTAATAAATTTATTTAGTTTCAATGTGAGCTTAGCTAATTATAAAAAAGTCATTCAAGAAAACATCTTTCTATTAAAACTTCCTCCAATTTATGTTAAGTAGATGATAGTTATTTTAAGATTACTTTTTGTTTGATAAATTAAGAATTTTGTATCTTTGTCTTTTATCAATAAAAATACTCAAAATCAATGTATTTGCTTACCAATGTGCAGTAACTAAACCCACTGTGTTATAATTGACTTCAAAATCATAAAAAAATAGTAAAATTTGTAATAAATTCCATGATTACCAGATTAGTTGAAGGCAAATATAAATAATAAAAAAACAAATTTGTAATGTAAGTTTTTATGGGAAGTTTATTATTCTCCCGCAACAGATTCAACAGTTATCATCAGTACAAAAGTAATTTTAATCCTAAGTTTGATGTTGAACTTCCACTGGAGAACAAAAACTAACCAAGTTATTAGTTGCTGCTACGAAGAACTTAGTCAAAGAGACCGAATCCCATATCTTCATCCTCAGATTCAGATTCTTCCTTAGCGGCCTTCTTGTCCTCTGCAATAATAAATTTAACAAGATTAATAAATGATTTTCATAAGATGGTCATAAAACAAATTTAAAATGTAATAAATATCAGATTTAAAAGTTAACAGCACAACGACTCAGTCGAAAGATGGTGATAATTGAAATCATCATGAAAAATATTTGTTCATTATATATTGCTTCACAAATTGAATTATAATTCAAATGTGAGATACAAAATGCAGTAAAAGGAGTTGTCAAAAAATAGCACTCACCCTTCTTCTCTTCAGCAGCTGGAGCAGCGGCACCAGCAGCGGCGGCAGCTGGGGCAGCAGCACCACCAACTGGCATGGAGCTCAACATTTTACGGCCTGCAACAAGGATTGAGAATTAAATTTATTACTTCATCTTAAACTAAGAAACAAATGGAACTCGTATCTAAAACGAATTTTACCATCGGCGATGACTTCTTCGATGTCCTTGTCCTTAAGGCTCTTCAGAACGTGTTGGAGCCTTTCAGCATCAGCCTCAATACCAACCGATGAAAGGATTTTCTCGCAATCATTCTGGCTTGGGCTTGCTTTGCCTCCAAGGACGGCTAAAAGGTAAGCGGCGACGTAACGCATTCTGCAAAGTACAAAGGTTCTGAGTTAGAGGTTAGGTGGAAGCAAAAAATCAAATACACGCACATGAAGTATTAAATAATTTCATCAGTTAAAAAGTTAACAGCACAACGACTCAGTCGAAAGATGGTGATAATTGAAATCATCATTAGAAATTATTTCACTTTAATTTTTCAACAAACTGAGTACACGTGGTCATAGCGTCGATTTTGCAACTCTACATCCAAAGTTAAATCTATTTAAATCGTCCAACAAATTCATAAAATATCCATTAATAATATGAAATATACACCGAGTACTCGTTAATTGAAAAACTAAAAGGTTTATTTTAACTAATTAAATAACTTAAATTGCAACTTACTTTTAGGTCTATGACACGAAACGTGCTCAACTGCTCACAAAAGAAAAAAGGTGTCTTTCAAGCGGAGGCTTGGAGCGGAATAGACGGTAGCTCTGCCGGCTTCGAGACGAGCTGACTAGTTGCAGTAGAGCTGACAACAGCGCTTTACTAAAAATGCGCAGAATGAAAACTAGTGAACTTACCAGTGTAGTGAGATTTCGACATTCATTTTCTGACGAACTCGCATTATAATAATTGCTATATTTTTGAACTTTCAGGCATTTTTCGGTTTAATTCGTTATCAAAGCGTTACAGGGATATGGTAAAAAAATTTTTTTACAATAAATTTACAAATAAAAGTAACTTGATTTCGAAGCACGCGCAAAATTGGCAACAGTGAATTAACGAAGTGGCGTCTTTTCGACGCTCTTTCGGCGCTGAAGGCGTAACTTCCCGCGCAACTGTTTATTATGAAAACTGTTGATTGCATACAAAGCTGCTTGAATATTGACCAGTAACGGTGTTATCAAGAAAGTAGTGAATTGACATTAACGGAATTATCAAGGGCGTATCGTAAAAAAAATAATTTTAAACCATTAGTTTATAGTGCAATCGTAAAAATGCGTAAAAGTTCGGCATCGAGGCGTCGGTCCTCGTCAAATCCTGGTAGAATATCCTCTACCAAACCAAATCCTCCTGGTAATTCAGACACAATGATCCCGAAACCGAGAATTCGCAGCTTCTCAACCGACAGGTTGAGCGGAATGCGAAAATCGAATCTCAGGCCAACAACAGGTGAATGAAAATATAATGCGATATTGACTTGTAATTGAAACATCTTTACTAAATTACATTTATTCATTTAGGTGCTAAATTATCTATGGGAACATATTCAGCAGGTTCATCTGCTATATCTCCAATGCCAAATAATCGCTACACACATCTAATGGACAAGAATTCAAGACCTTCTCTTATGGATCAAGGTAGCAGAGGAAGACCATCGACGATTGACCAAAAAGGATATACTACGCCCAAAGCGAGCAGCTCAAGACCTCAAACAAATGATGGCAGAAATGTCAGAGCATCTTCTGCAGAAAGAGCGAGTCAGCTTGCTCCAAAAGGACCCAAAAAAGATCATCGTCCACTCAATGATAAGAATTATCAAAATGAAATGGTATTGAAAGTAGAAAGATATTTTCAGTCCATAGATCAAAGTACTATTATAACAAATAATATTAAGCCTCTTACATTAAAAACTTTTGTTGAAGCTACCAATTTACTAGTTAGGTTGTTAGATATAAAACAAGCTCTTACCATAAATAATTATATTGAAGAAATCCCTAAAATTGCCAAGAAACTTCATTATCCAGGATCAATGACTAAATCATGGCTAAAAACTGCTTACACTATGCATTCTTGGCCTCATGCAATTGGATGGCTCTCTTGGCTTGTTGAGCTTTGTGAAGTAAAAGATCTGGCTAGTGAACTATTCATTTTGGAAAGATTACCCATAGTTGGTGAGACAGAAGAAGAAAGAGAAAATCGAAGACATGTTTTTTCCTTAATGATACAATGTTACAAAGCATGGAATGAAGAGAACCCTCAAGATGAAGAAAGAATCATGACCCAATTTTTTGATGAAGAAGCAAATAGAAGAGGAATTAATCTTGAAAAATATGACGAAGCTCAAAGGGAACTTCAAGAAGTTCAAGAACAATTAAAAAAAGAGCAGGCCAAAACTGACATAATAAATGAGGAAGTAAATGAATTGAAGTCTATATTAAATAACATGAAAATAGATTATAAAAAACAACAAGAACATATGGTAGAACAACAGCGATATATAGAGAAAAATATTAAAGAAATTGATCAATTTGAAAAAGACTCAATGATGTTTGTGAAGGATATTGAAAATCTTGAAAAAACAAGAGATGAACTTAGAAGTCAGATAAAGCAACAACCTATGTCAGTTAGTGAGCGGGATGAAATTGTCAAAGCTTGCACTGAACAGCAGACTTATATCCAAAACTTTGAGGTTCATTTGGAAGAAATTAAAAAAGAATCTTATTCTATAGACATAAAACTTGTTTCATCAAACACAAATCTTGTTAAAGCTATTCTGGCATACAATCAAGCTTTATTTATGGAATTCAATGACTCCAACATTAATGTAGATAAATTTTTAATGCCCGAGAATGGAATTTGTGGATCCGATTTTATGGAGATATTAGAAAATAAAAAAGCTTTAATGAATGAATTTATGAGAGAGAGAACTATAGAATTGAATAAAAAAGTAAGACTTCTTGAATCTCATAACAAAGAAATAGAGGCATTACAGGCTAAAAGAGATGCACTTTCTGAAAAATTAGAAAAAAAGAAAGCAACTGACCAGATGAAAAAGCAAGAAATTAATGCTCAGGAAAATAAAAAGAAAGAAAGATTGAAAAAGTTGCAAAAAAATATAGCGGAATTAAACGAACAAATAAATTTACTTTCAGCTGAAACTGAAAAAGTAAATCAAGAAATAATTGATCTTACAGATAAAAAAGATGCTGTCTTGCGAAAATACAAGCACATGAATGAATCTGCTAAAACTTTCTTTAGTCAAGTGAATACTGTTTTAAATGAACATCGAGGAGAAGTAAAAAAATCACTTGAAAAATGCAGTGATTTTTGTGACAAAAAATAAAAAAATTACTTGCAAAATGCAGTGCTAAACAAAGTATTAAATTGCTTTCAAATTGCAGTATTTGTACAATATCTTTAATGAATATGAAAATATAATCGATGTAACCCCAATTGTATAGCATAACTTAGCTCTCACGAATTATTGATTAATTTTATAGATTTTTTTATTTATATTTATTTATTTTTTCTTACAATAAATGTACAAGTTAGAATATAATACAAATTCTTGGCTAAAATCCAATAAAGTATATTCATTTTACACAAGTTTAACAGTTTTCATTTATTTGTTCATATTTTAACAAATTCTCATTTTTTATATGTATAAACAATATTTTATTGTACAGTGTCTTCAATAAATTGATCAAATTTTGCAAAAAGCACATTATTTGAAAACATTAACTCAAGCTTAAAACCAATTCTGTACATTTATTCACCTGGAAATATTCAATATCTTACATTTTAATTGTTCATTGTGTGAAAAATAAGATTTTAATGCAGCAGTCTCATTAAATCGTCGAACTACATTTTAAAAACGTGATTTCATACATCAATATGTCAATAATTACATTTTTGCTACAAAAATTAGAAACCATGATCCCAGTAACTTTTTAAAGTAATATTTTGGCGGTAATATTTACAATAAATAAACTTAACATTTTCCGGGGTATATTTTCAAATTGAAAAAATTTGGTGTTACGAATTTTTTTTCTACTATTAATAAACATTGGATTGAAGCACTGCTTTTTGAAGAAGTTGTGAGAATGTAGCATTCACTTCTTGGCACAATTTTTTTGCCTCACGATCTCCGAAAGCTGCTTGCGCTGTACTGACTCTTCCAAGCTGCACTAATAAATCGATAGCTCCATCAACTAGCGGTGGAAATGCAAAACCTATTCGTGTTAGAGCTGGTAATATGGGCATGAAAAGGGAAATTCTATCTTGGGATGGCAGAGCCCCTAATAATGTACCCAAAGTATTTATAGCTAATCTGCAAACTGCTAAGGCTTTAGGTAGAGCATACTGCACAGCAAGGTGAGAAACTAAATCAACAGCAAACACTTGTTTATCTAATTCAGGTTGTGCCATTAACTCTGGAATCCAATCCAAGCAAATATGCATTGATGGAATGCCAGCAACAGTTACCGGTATAAGTTCGCGTGGGTAGCCCTGAAAAATAATTCATATAAATTGTAAAAAAAGGATTAAAATTTGAAAAAATTAAAAGAGAATATTTTATTACCTGGAAATGAACAAGTTTTGCTAGGGAAGGATCAGCAATGAATACTTGATGTAAATAAGAACAAACAACGCTTCTTATTTCTCTGAGAGCCCACATTTGTCCCGGAACCTCTCTATCCTCATCTGTTTCTAAACAAGATTCAAGTAAAATCTGAGCTGCAGCACTTTCTTGTCCCGCTATCAAGGCAGTTTTCAACTCTTCTCTTTCTACATCTTCTTTCATAGGTCCATTTCTTTCAATAAATGGCCTGTCTTGCATATGTCGTGTAAGCTGAGAACGTGATGCTTGCAAAGTTGCTTGCAGTATTCTAAAAACAATGACCACAAGATAAAAAGATGGATATTTAATAGAAATAAAAAATACACTATAGTATATTTTGCACCTAGGGAGTGAAAAACTGGAAAGCCTCAGACGATCTCAGAGACTTTCTAGTAAAATGTTACTTTAGGTTGAGGTGGCCCCACCAGAAAAAGAGATTTTCTCCTATTTTTGCCCACAAACGAAAAAATTGGTTAAATGAACTGAACATGTTTAACAAAATATATTATTTAAATAGTGGTATTCAATTTTTATTTTATGTAAAAAATAAATTCTAAGTTGAGCAAAAATAGGACAGACCCCTTAAAATAAATATATTTGTTGAACCAACCTAAGTATCACAGTTAGTACAGGAGCGCAACGAAATACTCTCATATCACATCGTAAAACTTGCAGTGGATCTAGGACAATAGTTTCTTGGGTTAAAAACACAGTTGTCACTGCTGAGTCTTCTATAAACAATGAGTTTATAGATAGCACCCACAATGCTCGTGGTAATACTGTGTTCAATCTCAACCACACTTGTTGATAAAGCTCTGAAAAAACAAAAAATATAATTATTAAAATGAGCAATGGAGATATTATTTAAATAAAATTTTTGCAAACCTTGTATGTACCGGGGCACTTTTTTATCCAAAACTCGTTTAAAAAATTGTACAATAGTTTTGGCATGAGGCCATATATCTACCGGTTTCATAGAAATGAGTTTTCTAAGCATCATTCCTGTTTTTGATGAGCATGTATGTATGTAATCAAAAGCTTCTGTAATAGTTGCATCGTTAATAATGATTCTATCATTATTTTTTAGGCTGAGATCAACGTGTATAGCTTCATCATCAAGCCAATCATCGACAAGAGAGAGATGAGGAAAATGTGTTGCTAGTAGCCTAAGTAAGGGAGAAAAAAGACCGGCATAATTTATTTGTTCTCTTTGCACTTGCTGCAAAAGATATTTAATTGGCAGCTCAGAGAGAAATTCCGTTGAATAAGCTTTCACTTTCCGATGTTGATTAATAAAAATGTTCATATTTGCCAACCGAACATCCTCGTAAAGTAACAGGTAGTATAACAGCAATAGTTGTGATGTTAGTGAAGGTTTAGTTTTACTATCAAGTATAATTGAATCGCTATTTTCGTTATTTAGTTCAGATAAACGTTTTGTCTTCTTCATGTCGAAATCAAGACCAAAGTCGCTATTCTGAAAAACTCGTTTAATTTCCTCTTCAGTTATAGGTTTATTTGTTTGTTCATGACCTTTATTTGTGGTCACAAGAATCGAGTTCACATAAACTTCCACAAGCGCAGGTAGCACTGGATGTAACGGAGGTGCACTATCACACAGTTGTTTATAAATCCAATTTTTTATTGGTACTTTATGTTTAGTGAATGCTCTAGATTTCAATAGTTGATGAATACAATGAACTGGTAAGAAACCAGTGATGTTAGCATTTAAATTGGCTGTCACTGGAACCTTAACAGCATGTGATGTAACAACTTGTTCTGTGAATATCTCATTAGTAAAAATTTGTTTTATCAATGAGAGATTATTGGTCCGAATAGGTATTTTCATTCCAAGAGTAGCACAGACCAAATCTGTAATTGCCGGTATTTGATTACTATGAAAATGAATAGCCATCAACAGCAACATTTCTCCAAAACTAGCTGAAACACCACTTGCATTTTCAAAATAAGCTTCTTCTCGAACCAACCATTGAACCCATTCAACACAAGGCTTTTCTAAATTATGATGACCAATAAGAGATGGGCATGCTATTAGCATGCACAATCCTACAGATACAAATCGTACACCAGCTGGAGTAGGTGGTGGATGAGAGATTAAAAGTTTAACAATCATAACAACTTCTTCATCTTGGAACTTGATAGTACCAATTCCTCGTAAAGCGCAATAAAGACGAAGTAAAGCACTGGCTTTTACTACACAGGATTCTGCTAATTTACCATCTGTGTTTTGTGCCATTATTGCTTGGAGTCTACGAAGTAATTCATCACGGAGTGCTTGCAATGCTAAACGTGCTTCAAATTGTTTTTTTTGCCCATTTCTTATAAACATAGCAATCCATGAACGAACCTGCAAGAATGCTTTATTGTAATGTCTAGAAAAACTATATTAAGGTATTTATTTTGAATAAATTTATATGTACCTGTTGATCTGTACCCAATAAAAGTCCAGAAACAAAAGCAACAATATCACTTTCTAAGGCTGAATTAGGAATATTTTGATTTTCTAAACTCAAAGTTATAGCTAAAGCAGGCATTCTGCACAGTTCTATACATTTTGCTCTGACTACCAATGCTTGGCTTGGATTCATTTGACACAACATGGTCAATGCTTGAATTCTTGTAGAACTCAATGCAGATTCTTCTTGACGTTCACCTTTAGCTATTAAAAATGTACAAACTTCCATAAATGTATCAGGATTGTTTGCTACTATCCAACAAATCATTTCTGGTCCATACTTAATGTGAAGTAAAGTTTCACAAGTATCTGGAATTGAAATTTGATTTGGTAACTCTGCTAAAGCTAGACATATAATGTGACAAATTTCTTCTATATACACAGCACTTTCAAATAAATCTGATTGTTTGATTTGATAGTCTGGATTATCTGTCAACTCTTGCAGTTGCGCGCCTATGTATATAATTTCAGTGAGTACAAGACGAATACGTCTGTTAGCATCACTACGTTCAAACTCCATCAGCACAGTTGATGCTGGCGTCGGTGGAACAAGGATGCTGTCAGAATGAGCAGTATCTTTTTTTGCCCTAAAATAAAAGTGTTATTAGCTTCTTTATGAGCTAAGCGATGAACTAAAATTGTAATTTAGCTGACTTTACATAAATCAACTAACATGATTGCTTCTAAAAGCTTTTCAAAATGTTCAAAAGATCAGAAAAATGGTAAGAAAACAAGAAAAATGTTCAATTGAAAACAATTAATGATAGAGGATTCTCTATACTTGAAATTTTTCTGAAAATTCATAATTTTCTCAGTTAAAGTAGTTGTAAAACTACATAACATCGTTCATTATTCAGCATTCATGTTGCAAATTTGAAGTATGCGATCAAGCAGTAACTGCAACAAGTGGAATTGGCTCGTACCTAAGCTCTTTCTCTTTTTTGACGTCGTCGTTCAGTTGATGAAAATCAATAGAAAGAAGGGCGACCATGGCGTTGACGCTTTCGATTCCGGAGAGTATGGTGAGTATCTCCTGGCGGGCCTCCATGCAGTCAGCCGTGGTCTCGATGGGCGCGATCAAGCTGATCCTAACCAAGCAGGGCAATATCGGCCGGAGCTCGCGCTCCGAGAGCTGGGCCAGCTCACCGGTGTCGACGCTCTGGATGGCCTGGAAGACTCGCGCGGTGACGCGGGGTCCAGCGGATTGTTGTTGCATCTTGTGCTCTCGATAGACCGACGGAGACGGCAAAACAACACCGAGTCGACTCACACGACAACGAGGCGATGCAACGCAACAAGACGAGACATCAACACGTTTGGTCGCATCGAGCAGCTTACGCGGTACTGCTTGTGTTTGCAATTTGAGCAGCGCACGAGGAGTAGCCGCGTTAGCAGGCGCTGACACGGGGCCGGCTTACTGCGCGTCGCCATCTTTTTCAAATTCGCTCGCATGTGTATTGTGTGTGTATACCTATATGCGCGCGAGTCGAAGATCCAAAGTATAACGGCCCGTAGTAGGCCGCCTTTCGTACAGATTTCGAGCAAAACAACCATCGGTGCAGGGGCACCTACGGCGCAAGTTTTGGCCTCTCGGCGGATGAACTGAACGCGGATTCGTCACGAGTTTCGACTGAATGAAAACTGAATGAAAATAAGAAAAAGATGGATAACTTTACCGAACGTTCATTTCGAGGCTGTGCTTAGTCCTGAAATTTAATTTGCCCAAAGAATCAGTTGGTTGTTTTTCATGCTTGTTTGGGAAAAACTCAAAAATAAAATGCAGGATAATCCGCTGCACATAAACAAGCGTTGAAATAAATTTGTTGACAGTGTTGGGTATTAAACGGAATGAAATTTGAATAATAAATTATAAATTGTATTTTACGAAAAAACTGTACGATTATAAATTTATAATATCCTTGATTACTCGAAATAAAACGTTTAAACATTTTTTTAAATTTCACAAAAACTGAAATAAATGCCATCTTTCTTTGATTATATTTTAATTATCAAACTTGAGAATTATTTTTTTCAATTAAAAGCTGTAAAAAATCTTCATGCATCAATGTAATATAAACTAATATGATTGCTTTAAAAGTATTTCTCAGAAAAAAATGAATAAAATTAATTTTTCTAAATTACATATCTTTTTTTTTTTATAACTCTCTTAACCCGATTTCAATTTAATGTTGTATCTTCTGTGTAAGAAAATGAAAACTTTGAATACAGCTATGTAAAAGAATAAAAGAAACGTTTGTTTTCGTGCTTATACAGATTATCCGAAAGACAAAATAAAATTTGTGAAGACGCTCTTTTTCTCAACATTAAAATTTATTGCTTTAGGATCAAGCTTGTTATACATATATAACGGCAGACACTTGTTATATGATAATATGTATCTTTCATTTTTTCCATATGTGGACGACATATTGTAACGTTTTTTTATTTCTTATAAATATAATTCATGTGTATAAGTTTATATTTAAGTAAGAATCAGAGTTTTTGAGGCAGAAGCGTAATATTTCATGGAGTACAGTACATGAAGTACATTATCTTATATAGCAGGTGTATAGTTACAATCATTGAATGACTTATAAGAAATCACAATGAAATTATTATTGTAATTTTTTAGTCAAGTAAATGTATATTTGTCACATTGACGCACACGCGCATATGTACATACACGTGACTGGATTTTTTTTTTGCGAAAAATCATAAAAACATGTATTTTTATTAGACTCAGTATTACAACAGAGAATTGGCTTATCTCTCGATGCACAAAAAATTTATAATAAAGTGACATTTGTTATCATAAATTTCTGTACTTTTAACAGTTAAATCAGTCAATTGGTTAATTCAAAGACTTTTTCATCTGCAATTTAATTGCAAAAGTTTTCACTGCAGAATCTTCATGAAATTCACCTTTGGGCTGAGGCGATTGTCCATAAAACATATTTGAATAATGTGAATACTTCATAATTCCTTAGAAGAGTAAAAAGGTTAGCATACATGATTAATCACACATCATATATAATAAATGAAAATCGTAATAACTGTCAATTGACTTATCTTTGAAATTATATCAAATTTATTTGAAAATTTGAAAGTTCAAAGATACTAAGCAATATGAGAATGGGATTCAGAAACTTTAATACGCAATTTTTACTGTGCTAATAATAATATTTTTTATGCTATGCTAATTTATTGCGACAACTCTATATAAAAATATATTTCGAGCATTTGCGTCGTATTCTTTAGAAAAATACTGCGATTTTTCATACTCTTTAAGTACAACACTAATTCACTATGTGCAATCGAAAGGGTTATACATTTATTGAGAACGGCCATTTTTTAGTTTTAAAAAATTGGAATTGTTACCATATCCATAGGCGCTGATCGATTGCATATAAGGAATTTAATTAATGGTATTATGAAGGGGAGAAAATTGTCAGTATCGAGCAATAAGCGTTTTCACGGAAACGATAGAAAAGTTAAAACACTCTTAGAACATTAATTTTTAAGCTCCTGTGAACACAGATAAAAGCAGAATTAATCTATTTTATCGATGATGATGAAGCTCACATGTTTCCAAGTACACTATTTCTTTCATTCAAGTTTTAAATATAATTTTTAAAATAATTCAAACTTTTTGAAGGCTGGAGATACAATAACATAGAAAACTAAAAACCCTGATCATACCTTTTCTTACATACGTAATCTGGCATCAAAACGAGGATAATATTTTTTAAGTATGACAGAATTTATTTCTGTTTGTCATATGATTGATATGTCCATTATTTTCCGAACAAATTGCAAAATACAATTTTTTTAAATTCAATAAAATTTCATTTCGCTCTCTGACTTGCATCAAATATTCCATAATTGCCTGATCGCAACAACCATTTAGACAATAATAGGAAGAATTTTCCTCGCGAAAATAGTAACATCTTTGCAATATCTAGCTTATATCAACATTCAAGCAAATAACAACAAACATTCGTATAATTTTTCAACAACTGTCAATTTCAATATCAAATTTCAATACTTCAATACAAAACACGATGTACCTAGGGTACTCAAATAATCATGCCTTTTTACAAGTAGCCCTTTACTTTTCTCAATAAAATAGAATATATCATTTTAATAATATTGTCGTTTCTATGATTTGTTTTTGTAAGTTACATTCGTGTAAAAATGTACGCCAATTGATCATCGGGTTTGATGACTTCGTCGCGTTTACGATTTCGTTGCTTGTAATTGTGCATATTATAATAGAGACACCATTTGTCCATTGATAACATATATTCCTTTAAGATAAATTAAATAAACTGCCATATTGCAGTTGATCAATTCAACTTTTGCTCAATCTTGCATGCAATAAAATGTTTACATTTGTTTCGATCGATAATGGAAATCTAATGATTTATTTCAACGTATTTGGGTTAGTCAAATATTTCAGTTGAATTATTCACATTTTTTCGGCACAGTGTAAGTTTAAATCACGAAATTGTCAGATATAAGCAAATATCACAATTGAATTTTTTTCACTGATCAACAAATATTTTCATAAAATTCACTCTCGGTTATTGAAATTAGAATTATTTTCAAACATTGATGTAACTTGTTCACATATTTATAGACAATAACAAGAATCGTTGATGTTATTTATTTATATGTTTTTTTCCGAAATGGGTTGGACGACCCACTGTGTAAAAATATTGGAAAATGTTCAAATTTCAAAATGAATATTTATCTTATTAATTAATCGAAAAAATTATTAAATGCATTCAAATGAATCTTCTTTCGCTAACAATAAAAATATTCGATTTGACCTTGTAAAGCAATACTGAAACTGTAAAGTAACTCTTTAGTGACTCACTTCAAAAAAGCCTTCATTTGCTTCGTCTGATTTTTCATACTGTACTGAGCATTTTCAGCTTTAGAGATGAGCGAGTCGAGTTTGTCAATGTGCGAGCCTAATTTCGTATTAAGTTCGGCTTTTTTAGTCGTATCGATTCGTTGTTCATTTTCTTGTCCAACCACATCCGTGCCAGCACTGTTCTCTGGCACTTGATTTTCTTCCGTTGGAGAACCTTCAAATTGAGGTTCTGATGAGGAACCAGCTTGATGTTCCGGAGTTCCTGTCTGAGAGCTGACTCGTGCTTTTAAAAGTGTACCCAAACTACCGCAAACATTCTGAAAAAATTTAGAATAATTTTATGTGAATATCAAGTAATTATTATTATCCTGATTAAAAAAATATGACGGTATTGAAAAATTAATTTTTTACTAATTAAAATTGTCTACTTATTAGAATGGTTTACATTCACTCGATAATCCCTGACCGCTTGATTTAAAATCTCAGTAGTAATGGCATTCAATAAATATACAGTGGGGTTTAAATTCTTATTGTAAAGCGATAAAACTGCTCACCTTGAACTTGTTGATTTTTTTCTGCGTCACGCTCAAGATTGCATTCAATTCATCTAAACCACCACCTATGCGCTTTGACGATTCTTCACTGGCGTCTAGTTCCTAAAAAAATAATCATCAGGGCAATGAAACACTTGGTTTTACTTTTATTTATAACAATCATTGATCGCCAATGCAAATTTTCTTTCCAACCAATTTGATAGATTTAAAATCTGTTAAAATCGACAGTTTTATTTTGTCATGGTGAATCTAAGCTGGAAATTGAAAAAAATAAGGAGATTACCTGAGCAGCTGCGATGTCCTGATCATCGTTCTCTTGAGCCTGCAGCATGCTAGCTCTTTCCTCGCTGGCCAACCACTCGGCCTCGCTCGGAGTAGGTAATCCTAAGAGTTCAGCTCTTTGGCAGGCATGAGAGTAACCCTGGGAGTCACGTCTCGTCAATTCGCCTGCCATGTTCACTCGCACCTGCGGATACGTTTATCAAGATTCGATTAATCGTTCTCGAGGCTTTTGATCGTTCGCGACAATTATCAGTACCGCTGGTCAATGCAGTCTTGGGGGTCCGCACGAGTATTCCTCACGCCCGTCAAACTACAACAGTTGTTTTGATACGATCAATCGTATACTACTGCTGCAGCGAGGCTGTGCTATATCGGGGTGAGTTTGCGCCAGTGCAGGGCGGGGGTAGGGGATCGCTCGTGCACACACTCGAACGCAGTAGTAGGAATCCATATTGGGCCGACGTTGTGCGCAGGCTCGAGCGTTTTCGTATAATAAAATGTGTGCACTTGTAGTCGCGCGCACATCGATATACGCCTGAACTGAAAAGCCCGTGACAAAGAACAGAAGGGGGCTGTTGGATGTAGGCGCTGATCGTGCTTGAGTTTTTCTTCGATCCTCTTATCTTAATCGGTCTCGGCTCGACGCATCAAGTAAATGTTTAACACCAGACTGCGGCTATTGAGATGCTCATGGCGTTGCATTTACAACAAGCAAGCTCTATGAATTCAGACCATTTAAATACTTTAGGAAACAACAAATAATCCGTTCAAGAAAAAAGTACACGTTTTAATTACTACACACCTTTTTCATCGTTGCACTGTATGCATTTAGACGATTCGATTGCCAATAAAGTAGATGAAATTCTAATGAGTGTGGCTAAGTGTGGGTTCAAGATGAACAATCATACAACTCTTAATTTACAAAGTCACTGTAAACTGTAATTATGATATAATCACTATCAAAACGATTTGATTCTAAAATAAACGAATAAACACCATAATGTGAACATTATTTTATGCGTTTACTACCGGATAGTAAACTTGAACTTGAAAATAAAATTGTTATGAAAAACATAATAAAACAGAACAAAACAAATTATTTTTATAAGTGATTTATTTTTTACTCAAACTGCACTAAAATTCATGAAAACACAATCACGCATTTATTGCAGGGTAAAAATGAACAAAAAATATTTCATTCTATACTAATTTAAACATTTTCGTTAAAAATTAATCTTTCAAAATTGATTTCTTGCGTTAATTGTTCAAAAAATGTATGAAAACTCAATCATAATTAAAACCAGCTCCAAAAATTAGACGGTGAGCATCTTTATGTATAAGTTTGCAAGTGGCAAAGTAAAAAAATTTTATAAGAAAGTACAGTGAAATCTCTGTATACGTTAATAAATTTTATGTAATGTATTTTACGAAATGGTTCTGATATTACAACTAAGATATTCTATAATAAATTATGATTAGTCAAATAATTTTTTTTACGTCAAAGTAAAGTACAAAAATTGTCACAGCCTGGTTTGTAGTACATAAAAATTTGATCATCAACTCGAATTATACGTCCGTTCCAAAAATATCGCCAGACTTGCTCCTCCGTAAAGACATTATGATGTATATTGACCGTATTACAAACAACTTGGGTAACATTGGTCGTTCGGATAAATCGAGGCGTATACAATAAGATTGACGCACTCGCCATTACTTATTTTTCTCGCCGACGAGTGTGCGTGATTTATTTGCACATTGTTATTGAACTTATACGGCTACGCTAATTTTTCGAGCAATCGCATGATAGCGCGTGACTTTTTCCCCGCTATCTTAATTGATCTAATTGTCCAGAGAATGCGACGTGAGCCGGTAAAAATTATTTTCAAAATGATAAGAAAACACGTTGCTGCATTGATTTTTTCTGACTTGCAGGAACTTCACGTCTTAACAATCTTACATTACTACCCATATGCAAATAGATTTTTTTTTACTTTTTTTAAAAAATAAATAATCCAAACATGGTTCACGAGGTTATAAATTATTTGAACAATAATTCAAATATCAAAAACTTATCATTTATGGGAAAAAAATCATATGGGATGGAAAACTGGTAGCGTATTTAGATATCTCAATTTCTTCATGAGCCCTTGGATCTCATCTAACTCAATAACTCAAACATTTTATAGTCCTCGTCGACAATCATTCATGGTCATAGGCCAAGCGACAGTCGTAAAGTCTTCTAGCCGCAAAATTCGATAGCGTCATAGTCGTATACAATGACGTTTCCAGAGTATCAAAATGAATTTTTGACGTTTATTTAAATTTTGCCCTTTGCCTACCTCGTCGCGTACGTCAGAATATAAGTAGTTTGTGTTCGCGCGAACGTCATCGAGAATCGTGTCGAGTCACGCCGAAGATGTAGGATACAGAAGGCGCGCGCGTATATTTATATACGAAAAACCGGCTCCGTGCGGTTGTGGATTGCGTTTATCTTTGCTCGCAAGACAAAAGCCGAAGGATCCGGGCATTTTAGTCCATTATGTCCGAGCAGAAACATCTCCGGGTGCCTCTTCTTTTGGGCTAATGCGTATGTGTACCCATACACAAGAGGTTTAAGATGCAGCACAGCTAAAAGACACGTTAACAGTCACATATTCGCCGTGAACCGTTGTTTATCATAATTATTTTTATCAACCTCGCATTCTTCGAATCGCATCGTGCACTTTTCGATATTTTTCCCACGTTAAAAGCGGATGAGCTGCTGGATCGAAAGTCGTTCCTTCGATCTAGCCACTATACAAAGTTTAGCTTTGTAAACATTTTTAGCGCATATTTTCTAATACTGCACTTGTTGCGTAAGTGTTTAGAATTAAATTTGATGACTGCATGTTTTCAGCGAAACGAAAAAAACCCGCGGCTCATTAGTGATTGTTTATATTTATAATTTGACTCATTCGTACAATTACGAGAGAATATTCATGGACACATCTTTTATTGAAGGCCTAAAAATGATATATCATTTCGTTTAGGCTTCGTGTATCAGATTTCGGCGTAACGTCGCAAGCGTTTGAGGCCCCATGCATCTCACTCTGACGTTCGTTTTTGAGCAATCAAAGCCTCCTATCTTTACGTGACTCGATAATCCGTTCGAACGAAATAAAAAAGTGACGATGTTTAGTCACGCAAAAAGCTCCGTAAATAAGATATACAATGTACCTACACACGAGCGCATAACCGAGCACGAAAGTGTGACGGATCAATTTTTTTTCTTTTTCGTCACGTGTTCAAATGGAGTCAATAGTGCTTTTAGGTGCTATATACACGCGTTGAAAGAACGTCGAGCGTGTGGGTGGTGGTCGCGTGACCGGATTGTGGGAATATGCCCGCGACTCAGCAGTAATCGCCTCGAAAGGAATTTCACGGAAAACGTTAACGCGAGCTTTTTTTCTTTTCGTCGCGCTGCAAAGCGTCGGCCCGATGCAGCGCCTTTCGACCTTATAATGCGAAAGATATCACGTGCGCCCACGATCGTCGCTGCAGAATTTGGCTCGGCTTTCGAGGAAGAATCACGTGCCCGGGACGATTAATTGAATAAGTAGCCCAGGCCAGGATGTCTCTCGTTTATGCGATTTCTCGAGTCTCTCGGGCGAGCGACGCACAAGCCTGCAATATATGGACTTGTAACAAAGCTCGAGCGCGATCGGGTTCGTGTAATCTGATTTACTCGGTACCGTGCAAGTATATATATTTATAGTTATTCGATAATTGGCCATCCGTAAGCAAGTGTACGAGCAGTTTGACTCGGGCTCGGCGTATAATATTGATTTTCAATCAAGTCCCTCGTGCAGCGTCCCGCAGTATAGGCGACCTGCCGACGACTCTCCAGCCCCGAAAGAGATGTGTAACCAATATAGCCCACGGTAAGGACGCTGCCACGAGGTTCATTGTACTCGCGCGCAATTCTTATCGTACGTGTGCATGTGTTTTTGAGCGCGTCGAGTATAGCGGAGAGTACGTGTATAGAGGGATCATTGGCCCCCGACGCGTATTATATACGTGCATTACATTGTGTATACATATATGTTGAAAATATTTCGCTTTTTATAACAGAGAGACGAACGTGGAGACGCAGCGTCACTCGAGCCTCCGTGTCATTTTGTTTCTCTCTCGCTCTTCTTATTATAAAACGGCGATAGTCCTCGGAAGCTACCAACGGTACGAGCGCACGTGACTAATCGCACGCTTAAAATGTCCTGCTGTGTGCAGTTTGACTTTTCTTCAACTTTGAGCAGTGTATATAAATATAGCCAATATACATTGTACACAGTATGTGCAAGTTCGTCGTCGTTGCTTGATAAGCGACTCTTTAGCATGAATAATTTGCTGAAATCGAACATTGTATCGAGTTTCATTGAGATTTACTTATTTGCACATACTTCTAGCCCCATGCTGAAGCTCACAATTTTTCAATCTATCAAATATTTAAAAATTCCTAATTGTATTCGCGATAATATGGTTGTTTACTTCGGTCTTGTTTCATTCTTTCAATATTCGATAGAAAAAACAAAACTATCACTCAAGCCCATTCGCCAACAACGTTGTTACGAACTGGACAAAACGAGTTCACATTAATATAAGTACGAAGAAAAAGCGCGTGTAAAGCATACAGTTTTTTTATCAATCAAGTGGCTAATAAACTTTCGGCCCCGTCATTATATTCGATTCGTTCCCATCGGTCCCGACGACGACGTTGGATTGCTCGTGTGCCTTGATTGGCACATTCAGCTTAATAGTCAATCAATGAGGCACCGGCAAGTGCATTTAAAGATCTCGTGACTCGAGAACCAAATTCTTTGTGTCCACGAATCTGTTGATTCGACTCGTTAGGCATCTTTGCATGTTTACGCGATGTATGCCCACAATTCTCAAATCGTTCGTCCCTCCACGTGTACATATATTTATTTTATCCTATATCCATGATTCATTGTTTCTTGGCTTTCTTTCGAATATACCATCACACGATGTCATCTTGTTCAATATAAACTGAAAAACATTGTGTACTACGCCAATTGTATGGAATTATAATATGACGCGAAGAATTTTCTTAAAATTAATTAATAGCTGCTCGCGAGTATTATAAAGACAAAAGATCGTGTCAGCAGCTGTAGAGGCGTCAAACGAAATTTATTTGTTTATCATTTTAAACGTACGATTAATACTTAAATAATTTTCCAATCATTGCACAACGTATAATATACGTCAGTAAGCTGCTGCTGTTTTCGAAAACTTGATATTATAATTGACTAAACATTTTTTTTGTATAATAAAATAATTTGAG